ATGTAAATTAATTGGCGTGGCAAGGAAGACCTTCACGATTGATACATTGATTCAAAGCACTGGAGATTGTGAATTCGATTAGTCAACCAGGCAACAGATTATTGATCCGCAATTGATATCTATTGCGTTTCTGCTATGCGACATTCATCTAATTCTCGTTGTTTACCATATATCATAAGTAATATTTATTTATTTATTTCAAATGGCAGGCGTTTTGATAGCTATCATTAGTTCTTTAGTTGACTTCGGGCTTCACAAAGGGAAGGGTCATCAAAGTAACAGGAAGTCGAGGGGTGGGTTACAGAAGAGCGATTCACAGATATAAAAGAGGCAGACAGACACAAAGGTAGAGAATAAGGCAAGATGATTGCTGTGGAAGGGGTCGAATATGACAAGCAGTCGGGCTATGGTAGTTTGAAGTCAGAAGTCAACTGCCGGTTAATAGACTTTTTTTCCGTATGAGTATACGTTGTCCAGGGTGCACCACGTGGAGGTAAGTCTATCGCTCACCCCACCATAAGTAATATAATATATATCAAATAGCAGGCGTTTTGATGGTTACCATTAGCACTTTAATTGACTTCAGGCTTCGTAGAGGGGAAGGAACATCACGGAAAAATTCGAGTTGGGGGGGGGGGGGGGGGGAGGAGACAGAAGAGCGTTTCAAAGACGAAGGTAGAAAAAAGGTGAGGTGAGTACTGTGGAAGTAGTGGAATATGACGTACAGTGAGGTGATGGTAGTTTGAAATCGGAATTCAACTGCCAGTTAATAGACTTTTTGACGTGGAGGTAAGTCTATCGCACACCCCAGTAATAGAAATATAATAATACTAATAATGTCTTAACACCTGCAAGGAATAAAACAACCAGATATTAACTGAAAAGAACTGCAATATTAGAGAGAATTATTCGATCTTGTAGGCATTGCCGAACGAGGTGTCGTTGTCGGTGCTGTGGAAAGCTTATGCGGAGGTGCCGAAAATACTGTCAAAATATTTCGAAAAAAATGGGGACGATTTTTTGCTTTTGCGGACTTTGTCCCACATCATCTAGGTGTTCCAAATCGTCATTACCATCATCGTCATCAGCTAGTGACTATTCCTCCTCCTCCTCCTCCTCCTCCAATCAACATGGAAATTCCTTTAACATTGACCACATCTTCGCTCCTAGAACTGCGACGTCTGATGGAAATCAACATTCGAATGGATTGAGTAAGTTCGCTCAACACACTTTAAAGTGGTCTCAGCTGTACTGTAAAAGGTATCTGATTCGCATGGAAAAAAAATAAATCAATTCACTAGGGAAGTTGAAACCGTGAAGAAGAGTGAGGTGGCAACGCTCCCACTCATTCACTCGTGGTGCGTCATGCCTAAGCATCAAGGTCACCTTCAGTGGATAGATGTCGAACCGGATATCCCGTCGCCTGAGCAAAATTTGCTTCGATAAGTTATTTTGTGCTAAACAGACAATGGAAGAAAACTTCTTCACATTTTAGTGATCCATAAAACTAGTCCCCCTTTTTTCAACCTGAACGGTTGAATGTAAACTTCCATAAACCACCTCCTTATTCAAAGCACTCATACAAAGTGAAGAAAAAAACAGTTCTTTGTTAAAGGTTGCAAAGATTTACTATGCGTTAGGACACTCTTACACCTCACATTGCACGTCAATAGGTTCGAGTTTCGCTATTATCAATGGGTTTAAATTTTTGAAATTTCCAAAATTTGCTCATTTTATTGAAATGCGACTACTGTTATTGTTAAAGATGTACTTTTCATCAAAATAATTTATTAAACTAGATTATATCATGTTTACGATTCACTGAGTCAGTTTATTGGCTTTAATTATTACGTAAATGATGATACCGCCCCAATTAAGTAGTATATTTTAGTGGCCACAATGTCTTTTTTTTAAATTAGAAAACTCACTAAACATAACTTAAGATGAACAAGCGAAAGTAGTACAAATGAAAAAGAAGCTGAATACTTGGCATTTTTGAGCCTTAGTAAAATAACAGTTTCACTCGGTTGCCAATAACCTAATTTTATTCTCGATCTGAGTTCTTAATCTCGATGAGTGCAGATCAGCACTGACAACAGGCAAAATCTTCCAAATTTCATCCGAGATTTGGTTCTTTGGATCTACGAGAAATTCAACAATTGACTATTCAATCTGCAGGGAAGTTTGAATTGATCGGAGGTAGAGACAGTACTCGTTAAGTTCAGAATGCATATGGCAAATCAAAATGCGGTAGATTTGCCAGAAGTAGTGCAGACTGACGGGCGTTCATTGACCTCTCAATGCGATGAACGAAATGGTGACCACCAATAAAGACCCTGTCTTCAGCTGATATGACACGTCTAACTCAAAGTACTAATTATTATCATAAGGCTAGGGGGTGTGCGATAGACTTACATCCACGTGGTGCACCCTGGGCAACGTATACTCATGCGGCAAAAAAGTCTGTTAACCGGCAGTTGACTTCAGACTCCAACCTACCATCACCCCAGTGTATGTCAAATTCGACTACTTCAACCGTACTCACCTCACCTTTTTTCCAACTTTGTATCTGTCTCTTTTACATCTTTGAAAAACTCTTCTGTCCCCCTCCACCTAATCTCGACCTATTTCACTTTGATGTTCCTTCTCATCTGTGAAGCCTGAAGTCAACTAAAGGGCTAATGATAACTATCAAAACGCCTGCCATTTGATGAAAA